TCGGTTGATGGTCCCTTTAACGCTCCAAAAGGACACGCTGCATGGAAGAATGAGCACGAAAGGGACATCACAATTTGATGCTGCGATTTTTAATTCAACCGTACCGGAGTTTCGATCATAAGGATGTGAGTAGACTGCTGAACTGGTACTGTTGACTACTATCCACCTCTCCAACCTGGTTGTTATCGCCATTGTAGAATGGACAATTGCAATTATAAATATAATATTGTGCAAGGTCGGTGATGAGGTGCATGTCTGGCCGTGCCAACTAATCACACAATTAATACTGACTCAGCGCATGAATAATCGGACTTTAAAACGAATGTCGCCTTGACTACGGCTTTATCAAACTTAATTAACCATACAGATAGGAGCTTGGTAGTTGCCTACATCAGGACGGCAAAATTGCTCTACAATTTCAGAACTTTGTGTAATACAAAATTGCAAGCTAATACTAGTAGACATTTTTGCAAAAAGAATATTGTCTATTCATGGTCAACATATTTTGTTTGCTCGATCAACTTCTTAATTGAGACGCAATTTAGTACCTAGGATCATTCGTTGTGCATTACCCAAGGTGTCTAGGAGGCGATTCCAATAGGTGAAAAAGTTTTAACATCGAATGACATTTTGCTCGTTTTCTTATTTATGCCTCGATACCTGTAGGCATTCAATAGTTACGTTACTTATTTTTGTGAAACAGCTAAGATCTGGAAAGTCGTGTAGAGGAAGTGGTGATGGTGAAAGCTCAACATCACCATCGTCAGCCTCGTCGGAGCAAAATGCGGTCGGCGCTCAATTGCCGCCGCCGGCACCGCCGCTACTGCCTTCATTGCCACAGGCGCCTCGGGGACCGCGTCGAGCGCATGTAGTGTTCTCGCGTACCGTGTTAGTGGATGCAGGTCGTGAGACTACACGGCTCAATTGTCCCTCCGACTTGGATGACGATCACCTTGATGATACCGGTGATACCGGTAGCGAGGCAGAGGAGCCTAAACTTTGGCGTCGGGAGCGCCTTCACCGTGGTAACCGAGTGGTAGACATCCACCCCGGCCTTCCACGCAACGAGTACGTCATTTGCGATGGACGGTGTGGCGCTCCCACCTGTGCTCAGGGCTCCTGTCTTGCTAGAGTACGTTTAAATTCATTTAATCCTCAAATCCACTTTCTACAATCCTTTACAACTTAATAATAGGGAAAACATCAGTCACAGGAAAAGTTCTTTGTTTTTCCATATGTAGACCTTTGAACAAGGCTCTGCTTTGGAGAAAGTGCCTTAATTCGAATGAAATCTTTAGACAAAAACAAGTGCCTCGGTAGACCTGAGGAATGCGGGAACTTTTAGCCTTTCATGTGACATTTGGAGAGCTTGCTGTTTTAATAAGTAAAATTACACGTTAAGTATCGCAATTTATTAGGTTACTTCATCTAGTTTATCGCTTCCCTATGGATTATGAATGAAGGTGATCCCACATTTCTTATCAAAGAAAAGCAAAGTCTCTGAGTTTAAGGAAGCCACGTTTTTGTACAAAAATTTCATTCACAAATATACTCACTTGCAAATCGTACCTCTGTGTGTTTAGACAAACCGGTTCAATTACACGTAGTGAAGTAAATGCGCGACTGCGTCTGACTCCCCTTTTGAAAATGCATGACAAGCATTTGAAAGAGTAACTTGTGAATTTTTACAATGTTTATCAGTTTTGCTTCTTATTTTACAGGATTAATTCAGTTTTTGGAGGGCGATGTCATTCGCAAACTTCGTACTTAACCTTATTAAGTGCATTTTCTCCTAGAATTGACAAAAGGGACTGGAAACTTCCTTTAGAACGCATTATTGATAGGGTATAACGAAATATATCGAAAACCGAGACCTTCTAGTCGTTTCTTTGTAAATACGTTGTGTAAGATAAGTTTTTATCCAAAGTTGTCATTGGTTGGTTGTTGGTTGCTCCAACAAAGCATTTGTTTGATGTAACACCATTGGGACAACTAGAGTTGGGGATTCCTTGAAATTAAATTTCGAATCCGTTTTTCATTTTAAGCAAAAGGGTTCGACCGGATCCGTGCTCAAAAACACGACGGCTTACGGATCAAGCCCAAATGATCGGACCCATCTCACAACTCAGTTCTCCGCCGCTACCAGCGGGGACTTCGATTCGAAATCGGTGGACAGTGAGGAGAGTGAAAAACAACTGGCCGAACCGACCTCCGTTCACGAAATGCGAGCCCATCACCAGTGCTGCCGTTTGAACAATTTGGGCAATTCCTCTTCAACAACTTAACTGCCAAACACCCCATGTGTACATAGCGGTTTGCTTATGCTGTCATTTAATGCTCATCTGTGATACTCAACCGAAAAATTTTCGTACGAAGAGACTCGGTAGAGTACTCGAGTGCGCAATGAGCAAAGAAATAAGCGCTCCTTTTGGTTTACTTCTTTTAGTCCTTCACTCACAAAACATCCTGGATAATATCTACAAATTCAACTAAAACACTAATCTGAATTACACAAATCACGCAAATCAAAGGTATGCACAAGGGCCATAGCATCTCGTCTTGTCCTCAAAGTGACAAATTAGCAAACAATTTACGTGTGCTAGTTTGACTAGAATCCGTACGCTCAAAGACGCGCAAGGCAGATGTTAGCACAATCTGATCACTTGAACTACAGTCATGCTGGAGGACAAAAGCCTTCTGTAGTAAATAAGGCAAAATTGATTCTGTAAACTAGCCGTATACGTTCCTGCTGCTTTGCAAACACCCAAGCGATGTTTGGATCAGCTCGTTTTCTGTTAACTTTACAGCAAGTTCCCCGTCACTCACAATAGCTGTCGCGAACGTTGTATGACACTTATCTGGGTAGTTCGTTAAGGAGGCCACGCTTGTCACACAAATCATTTCGAAAAATAATTGTCCTACAGCTGTCCATCCAACATCTTTCGATTCCATTTGACTGAACGATCCAGCTGCGAAATGACAAATCGGATATGATTAGCCGCGGAACTGTTGAGCTAACCCGACCTCGCACCCAAAGTCAGGGTTCGATAAAGACTTACAACTGTTCTGTCCCATGATTCAATCTTGTTCCACTGGTCATTTGGGAAGATGATTAGGAAGACTCACGAAACAGCACGCATAAACGAACCCCCGAACTTTACCAACTGCGCCCAACTACCAATCTAAAGGGAACTCTGCAGACTTTACATTCCAAGTCATAATCATTTGTCAAGTTAGCCAGAGGATATGAAGATAAATTTAAACACTGCTCTCC